TTAAAGTATATGATTATTTCCTATAAACGAATACACCGTCTAAAATCGCCTAAATCTTTCTTAAACACTAGTATAACAAAATAAAAATGCTAGTTGTTGTTTTTGTTTATAAAATTCCAAAATTTTGTCATTTGATGGTTTTGTGATGTTATACAATGAAAGGTTGCATATGTTGTGAAGATATGATAGATGACTTTTAACCATTTTTATTACACAACCATTGGAAAAAACAAACGCAAACTATGCTACTACTAAAAACGTTTGCGGTATGTTGTTGTTGTGCAAGTTGAACTACCAACTAGAAGTTGACATGATCACAATTCAAAGATTGAAAGAATTTTCAGTGATGTGGAGTGAGAGAAGGAAATGTTGGAATTGATAGTATCAGCTTCCTGCCACCATTTCTTCTCCATGGACTCGACTCCGATGAATCGAGATGATGCATATAAACCCTTCTGCTATTTGGAGAAACCGCATTGATGTTAGTTATTGGAGATTGGATTAGATTCTCAATATCCTCTTCTCTCTCCTCTGTAATTGTCTCAATCCTTGAATGACACAACATACTCATGTCTTCTTTTCTGAAAGATTGGCCTTTGTTGTATATCCCCGAAGAAGATCCAGAAGCTCCATGAAGATGATGAGACTGTTGAGGAAGCAGTATGTTGTTGGATGAGATGGGAAGCTGAGCCAATGGTTGTCTGAATAAGAAGCAAAGGTAAATAGAGCTAATCAGGAGGTGGTCTTGGTTTATAGACATTGATTGTTTTGAGATTGTTTCTTCTTACCTTAATGGCATTGGTGTTGAAAGTGGAGCACGATTGAACAACTCGGCAGTCTGTTGTGTTTTCTCTGTTTCATTTTCCTCGTCTTGTTCGATATCCAAGCCAGCAAATGAAGAACCTGCATAGATTATTGTAATCATGTCAAATCAAAGATTTAGAGACTTGTGATACATATAGAGAGTTATGAAAGATGGAGCAAATAGACCAACCATCTTTTCTGCCAAATGCATTCTTGCATCCTTCACATCTACAATTTATGGAACAACCGACTCCGCTCTATAGGATCATCATCAGAGACAAATGCATCAAAAACAGTCCGATGAAGAGATTAATGTGTCATGGAGTTTAACGATGATGTAAGAAAAAAAAAAGAAAACCTGATAGCATTCACAGTATTTCTTCAGACAGTTTGATTTCTTGCAGTTACAGCCTCGTTTGTGTCGCGCTGAAGCTGGAGTTTTGCTTGCATCATCACCAGTTGCTTCCATGATGGAATCAGAGTTTCTGATGACTTTAGGAGCAAATGCAAGCGGATTGCGGGATTCAATCTGTTTGCGAGTAGCCAGAACAACGTCTTCATGGATAGGTTTATTGAAGCAATCTACACATGAACATGGCTCTATGCAATAAACTCCAGCAGCAAAGCATTCACAGTAACTACAAAGAGAAACATCAAAAGAGACTCAACAAAAAGATACTTCAAGCAAGCCAAAGATTAAAGAGGATTTGGAGTATTCAACTTACAGCTTTAAACACTTGGATTTTTTGCAGTTGCATCGTTTACACGAAGACTCGCCTTCTCCTGCTTGTTCAGACTTACGCCTGCCCATTATAATACCAAAAGATTGTTAGATTTGCCATAAATCTGTTAGTGCAAGTCTCAGGACAAACTTGCCTTTTCTTCTTTGGGCTGCTTTGATTCAATTCTACTAAAGCTGAAGACTTTGGACCTTCGTCTACACTTTGACCTGCAACTTCTCCGGTTTCATTCTCTCTCACAACGTCATTCGAGTGAAGAACCGGTATGGTAGAACCTTGTAAACCGACTTTTATGTTTCCGGAAAATGAGTACTCATTACCAACATTGTTGTCTTGAGAGGAAAATGCAATGGCATTAAGATGCAGACCAATGCTAGGTACTACACATCTCGATGAAGATTCACCCGTTGTATGCTTACTATTCCCCGGTATCTCAAAGTCTAAACAGCGTCTTCTCACTCCACGGTGCAAGATCGAAAGAGCCTGT